AACCCCCGTGAAATTCTGAATCCAACGGTACCCCATTCATGGTATTTGAGCATGGCAGAAGCTTATATTTGGTACAAAACCCATGGGGATAGCTGATAGGGTTAAAGGAGGAGAAATGGGTCATCGCGCGACATTAACGCTAGTCCTACATTACTTATTTAACGAAGAAAAGTAACTATTTTTATTAGATTTCATCGAATAATTGTTGTTATATATTTTCAGATATAGTAAGGATTATTTTTCCACGTTATAAGTTAAACATATGTTGTTAAATAGCAGTGATTAATTTGTACGTAGATAATTTTATATGGTACTGACGATTTTTTTTTTTTTGTTTTTGTTTAGGTGCCCATTGAGTACAGTTGAGGCATAGTTTACGACCACGGGCGGATCTACGGGAGAGGGGGCTTTGGGGCTGAAGCTCCCTCCCCCCCCCCCCCTCAAAATGATAAAATATTACCTTGTTTTATGGAAAAATTATCTCTCAAAGTATTATTGTCCATGTAATTACATTTAAAAGGATTTACGACTGAAATTACATGAAATTACATTTCATATAGGTAATTAGTTTCTTTCTTTTTTTCCAAAGTAATTATACTTATTTTTATGAAAAAAAAGCATTTGGGTTGAAGCCCTCTTCCCCAAAAATAAATCCTGGATCCACCAGTGATTGTGACACACGTATTTTTTTTTTTTTTTTTTGTCTGCTTAGAAAACGTTTTAGGAAGACCTTCTTACTTACACACATGATTATTTTTTCTATGAAAAGTTATATTCAGCTTTCAGTTTTGTTTCACTGATTTTGATATAATATTTATCAATATTTGTTTTTATTTCGACACAGTTAGTCCGGGGCGGTCATGAATAGGCTGAATAGTGGCAAAACTATTTTATTAAAAGCAAACGTTTCGACCCGACTTTGCAGGTCTTCTTCAGGGGGGTGTGTTCAGCTAGAGTTCTTTGTGAAACTCCTAGTTGAACACATCTACCTGAAGAAGACCTGCAAAGTCGGGCCGGAACGTTGGCTTTTAATAAAACAGTTTGGCCACTATTCAGTCTGTTTATGGCAGCCACCCCGGACCATCTCCTTCCTTCATAATGCTACGGTCTACTATTAAATCTATATATATATAAAAATGAATGTTTGTCTGTCTGTTTGTCCTTAGTGCACTACTAAACCATTCAACCGATCGCCATGAAACTTTGGGAAGTTGTTCCGTACACTTCTGGGAAGGTTTCTGGCATAGTACTTCTGTCTTACGATAATTTTATATATGTAAACAAAATAAAAATGTAAATGTTTTTCTGTTCAAAGCCGCAAAAAAATGTGTCGTTATAAACTGTAGCGCCAAAACGGCTTTACCGATTTTAACGAAACTTATATAAAGTCTTCCACTTGAAACCCTTTTAATTTATGTGTATAACATACTTTCCCGAAAACAAACTGAAAAATGTTACGATAAATTCAATATTTTATTTGACGATATTTAAAAAAGAACAGAATTTTTGACGAATTATACCCGTATTTATTTGAAAAATTTTTGAATTTCTGACAAAAAAAAAAAAAATCATCGAAATCGGACGGTTCGTTGCAGAGTTATTGAGTTTTAAACATTTACTGCTTTCTCTTCAGAAAAAACCATTTCCTTTTGCTTTCTCACTACCAAAGGCAGGGAAGCATTTTTTTTTTTTTTTTATTGATTAATCGAAAATTTTATAATTATTACAGTAATTAAAATTATCATTTGAAGAAGTTATATGATTCTCCTTATGTAGGTCTATACTATTATACGTTCTTTATATTAATTTTTTATTTTAGTTTTATAAGTTTAACTCAGACTGTTTCTGATGATTGTAAATGATGGCAAAATTCACTCAGATGATTACGAATGTTCAATTTGAATCATGAGAAAAAAAATCATTAGAATTAGTTTAAATTGAAGCCATTTTACAGACAAACTTGTTTCTCAACTTTTTAAAAATAACAGATGTCCTTTGCTATTAATCTACTCATATGTGCTTTCTATTTGATTTTGATTTTTCATTTTGCCTGGGTAAGCCACAGCAGCGCGTCGCCGGGAAAAGCTAGTATTAAATAAAAAAAATAGTAAATACGTTCAGTCCTTTTGTATTTGAATTGTAATTTACATGATCGATATGTTCATGAGATCCATAATATAGCAACTTGGAGAGCACAATTAGTCGACTGCTATGCCATCTATAGTTATTAAAACAGTAGCTGTTTCGAAATAAAAAAAAATATTGATAAATGTTATATCAAAATCAATGAAACAAAACTAAAAGTATTCGGTTTTCCTAAAGCGTTTTCTAAGCAGAAATAATAAAAAATTGTAACAACCGTACGCAGAAAATATGACACAACGAGCGCCTTCGCAAAAATACAAACAAAAACACTCCTGAATCCGACAGAAACATTATGTCAATATTTCAAAGCAATCGGTGAAGAAGTTTCGGATATCAGCGGTTTTGACTAAATGAACATTTATTTTTTTACTTTCCTACCTATACTAGGAAAATATTGCAATCGGGTCAAATTTCCGACATGCGGTTTTCGACGGATCTATACGTTTCAGAGTCCAGTGAGTCCGAAAAACACATTTTTAGCCATTGGTCTGTCTGTGCCAACTACAAACAAAACTAATGAACCGATTTTGTTGCTTCTTTTTTTATTTTTGACTACTGATGCCTGTGACAGAAGTTTCACAGCCCTCTGAGTCAAACTAATTAAATTCTCTACATAGCCATATAAAAATCCTTAATTTTATACAACTATTAACGAAGTTACAGCTATTCAATTTCCAATGTAAGATTGCGGTTTCATATCTTGGTGTCAGAAAGAGGTGAATGAGAGAATAAAGATGACTAAGTGAAAGTAAGAAAATCTGTTGCCCGCATCACACAATCTTCACTATTTCCTCTACTTTTAACAGAAATTATTGTTTGAAAAAATTATGGCTATGGCACAAAGTTTTTGATCAGAAATGTTAGTGAGTATTGAAATTTTTACACTGATCACCTTAAGCCGGTTTACATTTCTTTAGTTTATCAAATAAATCGTATTCAAATCGTATGTTTGATCAATTTTCAGGAAAATGTATCTAGTTCAATTATTTTTGTTTCTTAATGGGCATATGTAAAGATATAAAAACTTTTCTGAAATATGTAGGAAAGTCGTGTGAGTGGACACACCAGATATTTTTTTATATATAGATAGATAAAAGTATAACCAAAATTACGTTTATGTTGAAAACACATTTTCCATTTTTTAAAAAATTTATCATAGATTTTTAATGCCAGAAATGATGTGTTAGTTTCAAATCCGCCTAGATGCTCCAAAAAGCAATAAAAAAAGATTCAGTTTTCAAAAAAAACACCTTTCGTTGTTGATATTTATCCTTCTCATTCTTTATCGTAATAGTCTTAGATGGTTTGCATTTTTTAGATAATTTATTTAATTTATATAGTTTGAACCCTAAATACTTTCTTTAAATATGTGCCTTACTTTTAATCCTTTGATAATGGAAAGAAAGCCTAGAAAAATGCGGAGACTAAAGAAACTTATAAATGTTCGTGATATCAATGGAAATTGTTATATATATAAAAAAATAAAAGTAGGTGTATATATTGCTGTGTATTTATATGCATTTTATGAATCAGGTTAGGAAGAGAGAGGAGAGAATATGAGGAGAAATTAGAGAAATGTGTAAGGGGAAAGAAGGAAGAGAAAGAGATGCAGATTGAAACATTATATATATATATATATATTATAAGCGAATAAAATGTTCCCAAATTTCATTTATTTTGTCATATAATAGAATAAAAGTGATTTTATTCCACTTTTGCTTATTTTTGAACTGTCACTGCCGATCCAAATATTTTTTTTAGGTAATTATCAATGTCTTCATTGAAAACCAGATAACATTTCTTTTCAAGACAAGTTGAGTTTGTCTTTCTTGAAAACATTTTAAGGGAGCTTTTGAGCTGCTAAACTAAACCAAATTAATAATAATATAATTTTCGCGATTTTTTCGTATGTTTCAGGGCTTCATTATAGCTGATCGTTTGGAGCTGGTCTAGCAAGTGCTAGTTTAAGTTGATTTTAAAATAAAATTTTCGTTTAATCAGTTATTTATTTAGTTTATAGTAAGGAGCATTTTTTTAATTGAATGATGATGAACTATATTCCTGAAAATGTATAAATTTTAGTTTAATCAGATCAAGACCAAAAAATAAATCTGCTCAGTGTTAACTATAAATAACGAAGTTAAATTTTCTAAATATTTTACGAATAAAAATTGTAAATTTATATTATTAGTATAGTATAGTATATATGTTTAAGAACTGCGATAATAAACCAATGTGATTTTCTCTAGAATACTGTTTAAAAAATATATAATTTTTATTTTATTTATTATGACTGAGAAAAAATAAAAACTAATATGCAATAATTATTCAAAACGAGACGTTTTGTTTCAAAATTAGTTACATCCATTTTCAAACATTTTTCAGAACTGATCAAAAAATATTTCATTTAAAAAAAATCAATTTAACAGGCTACGCGTGGCCGGGTACAACAGCTTGTAATTCAAAAATATTGATAGTGATTAATTTTTTCGTATTGTTTTCTTCGGATTGAACTCTGTTGATACAGGACGAGTCCGAAACGTCGGACAGGTACGTTACAGAAAATTGACTTTTTCTCAAATTTTAAAAATGACAGATGTCCGTGTTTTGTTATTCAGCCGCTCAATTAATACGGGATTATTTTTTTTCAATTTTCAAATAATATAGAAGTACCACCATAATATTTACTATAGAAACTTAAAGTTTTAGAGAATTTCTGACGGATTTTATCTTAAACTATTTTTTCATAAAATTATTAATTTGTCACTTGAATCCTATAACTTCACTGGCCCTTATGTATATTATAAGCCCTTATTCCAAATTTTGGATACAAATACATAATATTTTTGACTCACTGGATAGAGGCGACGTATAGGATAATCCTTCGAACCATACTTCCATCACGGAGAAGTGCTGGTATCAGACTGAATTGCCAGTAGTGCTGGTGGGGGGGCGCACTTTCTAACGATCGGTAGGGGCTCCCTTATCTGATAAGGAACAGCTGTAGTCCATCGGCCACTGAGCATAGGCACTCAGCACGTGTGTAAATATTATTAAATACCAAATAATTGTTCGCTCTCTTTAGGGATAAACATTTATCCCTAGATATTGAACTAGAAAACAATGTCACGTACGTTTCGTAATCTTTAATCCTTAAAAGTAGTTAAACAAACGAGATAGCTGTGACGATTAAATCTTCTATATAAATATTCCAAGCAAGTTCTTAAATTCAACGCTAATTGGCACTTTTCAGAGCTAAAATGAAATTTTAACTTTTATTTTTAATGAGTAGTAGCAGTATTTTATTTTTTATATATTTTTTTATTTATATTTTATGCAATTTGCACCTGCGCAGCTGCGCATCTAGCAAATTTGTTGTGTTTGTATTGTCTTGGTGTATTTGCTTGATATGGTTTTTATTGGTATAGTAGGTCTCTATGCCATTTTCTTTTTAATCTGCGTTGTTCAGGTAACAGGGAACAGGAGATAGAAAGAACCAGAGGATTGGAGTGATTTTGGGTTGAAGAATGAAATGTAATGTATTTGTCGTGGATGTAGGATTTTACTGTTGGGGTGTTTAAGTCATTATGTATAGTATTATTTGAAATGTACCCAGGTGCGTTAACAATTTTTCGTTAAATTTTTTATTGTGCTGTTTGTATTTTGTTTATGTGTGTTTGTTTTGCTGAACCCCAAAGTTCTGCTCCATATGTCCATATTGGTCTCAGTAAGGTGTTGTAGATCAGTCGATTGTTTCGTAAGTTAAGTCAAGATCTGTAGTCCAGGAGATGTGAAAGTTGGCTATATCGTCTGGTAAGTTCTTGTCTTTTTTATTTCGTATGTATGTTCCAAGTAAGTCTTTTGTCTAAGTAGAGTCCAAGGTGCCGTACATAGTTCTTTGAAGGCACTGGATTATTGGCAATCGTTATGGGTGGACAGGAAGCTTTCCTAAGAGAGAAACTAACGTGGGTGGATTTTTTTACTATTAATTTTGATTTTATTTATTTGTTTTCGGAGAACGCCTCATTCAAATAGAGTTGGCTATAATGAGAACAATGAACAGATTAATATGAAAAACATTTACAACTTATATACAGAGTAAAATTCATTAGGATTTAACAATATCCTCCTCTCCTGATAACAACCAAGCCTAAATATAAACAATGAAATATAATATAATACCCCACATAATACAATAATTCAAAATAATATATCTAAATATAGCAAGCAATAAAATGACACATAGTGATAAATAGTACTAGTAATAAAGATAAATACAGACATAGTATACAATATATAATATATAAACATGTCAATAGTAAATAGCAAATGATACAATAAAACATGATATGGATATAAATATGTTTCATGCATGAATAATTAATACCACAAGCAGAACAAAGTAAATAAACTTCAAAGTTTTGGAAAAATATATATATGTTGTAGTAGCAGTATGGTTTCAATTTTTTTTTTTTACAATTATTTTGGAAATAGAACTTTTCCGTTGCAAATTTTCAAGGATATTTTTTTTCAGAATTTCTATTTTTAAAACACATTTATTAAAAAATTCTGTTAATATGTCCAATAAGTCTATCCAAAAATTACTTTTGTTCTTATAAACTCAAACAAAGTCCCAAATTACTTATTTATCGTCTTGTAAGAATTTTTATAAATAGAAATTAAATATTTACCATGAACTTAGAATTTTATTACCAATAAGTTGAAAGCTTTATTTTTATTTTTTTTCAACCCCTGGAACAATTAATTTGTCACATACTAAAACGAAAATTTAAAATTCCCACAATAGAGATCGCTCACATTAATAAATTATTAATATAGATGAGAAGGAGTTAGTCGGGGGTGCGGTCAGATAAATACTAAATTAAAATATAGTAATTATTTTATTTTAATTTTGCCGACGTTTCGACCAACTTTGTGGTTCGATTATCAGTGTTTCAACTGCCTCCCGCAGTGCTACAACCTACGCCCTGAATACGACCTGCAAAGTGGGCCGAAACGTCGGCAAAATTAAAATAAAATAATTACTATATTTTAATTTAGTACTTATCTGACCGCATCCCCGACTATCTCCTTCTCATATTATATCTACGGTCAACCATCTCTACATCATTATTAATATAGATGATAAATCAGTGAAAAAAGTAGTTATTTTTTTCAGAAATAAAAAGTTTATTTTCATAACTAATATATGACAAATACATCCGAGGTCGTCACAGAAAAAGAAATAATAAAGCTATGTAATAATTTATTGTAATTATTTTTATTGAAAACAAAGGCCCTTAGAGATAACTGAATATCAAAACACCTATTTTTTTTTTACTAAAAGACTGGGTATATTTCTAAACTCGTTGCATTTAGTTTGTCACTTATTAAAATGAAGATTTAAAATCCCCACAATAGATATCTCTGTAAAACAAACTGATACATTAATAATTTAGAAAATATTTTTTTTTACTTTCCTCTACCTTTGCTAGGTCTGTCTGTCTGTGCCAAGATTTTCTCGTGAACTAGTGAACCAATTTTTTTATTTTAAAGGATTTTGACTACTGATGCGTGTGGCACAAATTGGATCAAATTGGAAAGCTGCTGGGCAAAAAATGAAAAAAAAGTTTTTCTATGGACTGTAGCCCAAAAACTGCTCTAACGATTTTGATGAAACATTCCTATAATGTTCTAATAATTTTCCTTTCAATTTTCGTAGATGTACTAAATTCCCGAGAAAATTCAAGAAAAAAAGTTATAAACAAAATAAAAATGTTTTGGGCCTGACTCGCTAAGTACATATTATACGGTAAAATTCATAATAAAATTTGTAGAAATGTAATTAAATTACCAACAAAAAAAAAAATCATCGGAATCGAACCACCAGTATTAGCGATGATACAGCTTATTCTATTTTCTATTTTAATTTATTACTTTCCTGCCTATACTAGGTAAGGAAACTATTGCGGTCGGGTCAAATTTCCGATATGCGGTTTTCGACGGATCTATACGTTTTAGAGCTCCCTGAGTTTAATACCGTTTAGTCTGTTTTTTGAAAGGTAATGAAATTCTCTAAAAAACTTTATAAAAATCGATCATTTCGGACAACTATTAACGAAGTTACAACTATTCAATTTCCCATCTAAGATTACGGGTTCATATTCTGGTGTCATAAAGGGGTGAATGAGAGAAAAAAGATAACTAAGTGAAAGTAAGAAAATCTGTTGCCCGCATCACACAAGCTTCACTATTTCCTGTACTCTTAACTGAAATTATTGTTTGACAAAATTAGGATATGGCAAAAAGTTTTTGATCAGCAATATTAGAGGGTATTGAAATTTTATACTGATCTACCTTAAGCCGGTTTACATTGGTTTAGTTTATCGAATAAATCGTGCTCAAATCTTTGCTCTGATCAATTTTCAGGAAAATAAATCTGTTAATGTTTTAAAATGTTTAAAATAATAATTTTTTAAAAATTATTTTAATGAAATTTACAACTGTATTACATAGATAATACAACAAGTAAATGTGACATTTGTAACATGGCATGTACAACATGAAGAGAAACTACCCATTGGTAGAACTTAAGTTAAAGTTCCACAAACAAAATAATCCATAACGAACTTAATGTTTCTTATGTTTCCGATTTGGCCCAATCCAGATACCTATCCTTTCATAATAAACTTCAGAATCATCCCAACCCTCTCGTTTCTAACCTTGCTTCCTCTTCGATCCCTGACAACCCTCAGAGGCGTCTGAAAAGAAGATGGCCTCGAGATCTCCTTTTGTAAATACATTTTTAGAGTGCTACCAATGGGTAGTTTCTCAACATGTGATTTCATGCTATTTTATTCCTTTGTTCACATTTACTGAATGCATTTTTACTTGTAATACAGTTGTAAATATCATCAATAAAAAAAAAAATAAAAAAAAAGTTAAAGTTCTATATTAGAAGTTCCCGAGGCGATACGAAAGGAATTCGATGGTTTAGTGGAGCCTCAAAGCTCAATTCCGTAAGTCCAAATATGTCTTATTATTGTCATATATATGAGTCTTTTGTAATTAATGGGAAGTTTAGAGCGTTTGTCTAGTAAGTGCTGGAGTAGTCGAAAACTTCCGGCGGTTTCTATTCGTTTCAGTCTGGTATGGGGGTAAAAAAAAATAAATAAATCTAATTCAATTTTTTTTGTTTCTTGATGGACGTATGTAAATGCATAAAATATTTTCTGAAATAGATAGCAAATTCGTGTGAGTGGACACACCAGATTTTTTTTTCCTTTTTAATCTTTGAATATAAATCTGCACCTATCGAAAACTGTTAACAATCAACAGATGGTCTGATTAAAGTAATGAACTGACATGTCAGGCATGGAGAAGGGTACCTAGCAGTACCTCTTGTCTGGCTTGAATCAACTACCATGGTTTGTAAAAGAAGGAGGTCTCTCATTCAGCGCCTTTTTAGTCTCCTCCTCATATTTTTCGATATATCAGCTGAAGACATATCTCTGATTATTATGTTGGTATGTTCGTGTAAATTATTATGAAATCGTTTGTAAAGAATTCTTATGTGTTAGTCAACTATAGGCTGGAGGAAGTCAGTATGTAAGGTTTTGTTTGTCACGTACCAAGGTGCGTTAGTTAGAAATCGTAATATTTTTAGTGGATACCCAAATCCTCTCGTAATCAAATCCTTTCAATCGATATTCTTTCGTAAAATCCTCAATACTCCTTACTTTGTCATATATAAAATCAACCATTACGACCTGAATGGATCATATGTTTTTATATTTATTTTCAACCCTCCCCTGTATCTAGGCAACACATTTGCAGCTGTAGGATGTTACTGTTACATAGCAACCCACCAGTTGCCGTATTTGTACGAGGTTATGACGTAATGTACGAGGTACGAG